CAATGTCTAGTAACAGTGCCTCTGCAATTAGCGCGAAGAGCCAAGCTGTGCCCACCACTCGCCGGGGATACGTACCGTGACCTGGGCGGCATCGAGGAACTGGAGGCCGAAGTAATCTGTCTCCACGAGGTCCAAGTGGTACACGATCTGATCAAACAAGTCCTGGCCTTTGGCATGTTTCTGGAAGATAATGGAGGGACAGGACCATTTAGGGCAGGAAGGCTGGAGAGGGAGGACACGGAGAGACTTTGGAAAAAGCCAATAAATAAGGACATGAATCGCTTCTCTCTGTATGTTACCCACACTTAACATGGCGCAGTGCAGAGTTTTAGGAAATCCATTCGTTCTATGATAAATGTAAATACAAACTCACGGTCAAAGAAATCCAAATGCCTTCTGACAGTAAGAAGTACAACAACAACAACAGCAAAACTCCCCAGACAACTGCTCTTAGTCCTTTCTGGTCTCTCCTTTCAAAGGAACGCATTTGAGAGCAATGCCCACATAGGATGGTAGGCTTTGCAGAACCCAGACGCTCTTGAAGAGACGGGTGCTGGTGGCCCTACTCCAGCAGTCAAACACGCCGTTTCCCTACACGTTTTGGTCACTATGGGCATCCTTGGGGAATTGACTGATCCTCTGGAACGGGATTTTCCAGCCCTCTGCTTGAACAGAGGGGTTGAGCAGGACCCCGAGAAGCCAAGAGACCTGCTAGGGTCACCGGTGACAAGGCCAGGAGTCACATCCAAATTCAAGGCCCATTTCAGGGTCCTGACGGACTACATGGTCACTACAAGGGGCCTGAACACAAGAGAAGAATCTAAGACAAGGGTCACATCCTGGATTGGCCACTTGTTAGCCCCGTAAACCTGCGCACGTCACGATCTCCTTCCTCTTCTCCTCCTCCCTGCCTTTGTAAAAGAGGCCCAATGATACCCACTCGCCCCACTGCTCCAAGGGTCTAATGACATTGCAAATGAGAAACCCAGACAAGTCTTTGAGAAACGAGAGCGTTTCTTTATTAACACTCACCCAGGCCAGACACAGGCCTAATTGAATGAGAAGAACCTATCTCTGCCGACTGGTGCAAGCCTTGGGATGATTAAAGCCAGGCCTACCTAGTGACAAAGGAAGCCCAACACAACAAGAACAACCTGGTGCTGCAGATGCCTAGGGAACAGACTCCTTATTATGAAAACTGGCAAATAAATGCAGGGTGAGTATCAAGCATTTATCCAGCATTCTAGCTCAGCATTGGGCAACCAAATGGAAAATGGCACTGTACACACTCAAAATGGATCGAGGACCTACATGCATGAGTTAAAAAACTATCAAGGTCTTGGAGGGAAACAAATTTCAATCTTAATGACTGGATTAAGTAATGATTTCTTAGTTTTGCCGGCAAAGGCATTAAAGGGGAAAAGGACCGGTTAATTTGGCGGCCGGCAAGTTGAGGTTTTTTTTTCTTTCAGGGTTTCCGGGGCCTTGGGGCCCTGGAAGGACCATACACAGAACGGTAGGCAATTTTTTGCAAACCACACAGCTGAGAAGGGAGCTGTATCAAGGATATACAAAGAACTATTATAACTCAGAAAGAAACAATGTTAATAAGCAATGGAATGGAATGAACTGGTTTTCCAAAGAAGATAAACAAATGGCCAACCAGCACTTGAAAGGCCGCTCAGCATTAACCACGAGGGGAATGCAAGTCAAAACCCCAATGAGGTCCTATTTCAACCACCCCCCTCCTATGGGATGGCCATTATCAAGAAGACGGTAAATAACGTTGTGTTGGCGAAGGTGTGGCGAGATTAGCACCCTCACCAACTGCTATTGGGGAAGGAAAATGGTGCCCGGGCTTTGAAAATCAACCTGGCAGTTCCTCAAACCATTCGGCATCGAGTCAGCCAGAGCATATGGTCCAGCAATCCCACTCAGCACAGCCAACAAGAATGGAAACAGATCCACGAAAACTTTCCCCACAGTCAAAAGGTGGAAGCTTCCCCAACATCCATCATCTGAGGAATAAAAATTGTGGGCTAGCCTTACGATGGTCTACTTGGGGGCCAGAAAAGAAACTGAAGTACTGATCCAACCTTGACCACACCAGGAGGTGGTAGCCCTGAGTGGATAACCCGCAGTTGTGCTGCTCCTACCGCCCCTCCCCTTGCATGCCTACTTCCCAGTTCCTCCTCCCACCCTGGCCTGTTGGGGCTGCATCTGAAGAGCCATAGGGCCCTCACCTGTAGTCTCACCACGAGAGTGCTGGGAGCCAGTCTGCCATCCAAGGAGCCC